GATGTCTTGTACAACAATGTAGCAGAGAAGCAAACATGCTAGTTATGGTGAACTCAGCTGTAGGTGACTCTAATATTTAATACAAAGATTCATAAATTTAGTGTGATTTTTGTTTGTTTTGTCGTGTACCCTGTAGCTCTGTGTTGAAGTGTTTATCCATCCTCTATACCCAGCAGCTCTTCTGCTTCATTTTGTGTACAACTGTGTGAACATGAAAAGAGCATGCATGCTACTTTGAATCATGGACTGCCTTGGTGTGACTGTCACACCCTGAGATTTCTTTTTCTTTTTACAAAGAACATCCAGAAGGGAAGTTAAGAGGATATCATTAATTTCCTCTTTGAGCCCTCACCAAAATCATTTTGCTACTGAACTCTGTATCCACTAAACTAAAGTGTCTGGTGCAAGTGTGACCCGTAACTGTGTAGATCATTGCAACATAGTTGAACACCATCCATCACTATCCCCGAAACACACTCCAGTGTAGCACAGAGTAGATGATTAAGCATTTTACCTTTTCCATTTTGGGGCAGCTTGATGTGGGTCGTACCCATCTCACTCCTATTAGCGAAAGTTTCAGGAGAGAATGTTGCAGTAAGGAGATCCCTTGATAACCCATTAAAGAAGAGAGAGAGAATCCATCAAGCAATGGCAACGAGTTGCCCAGATGTGACAGGGAGAGCTACTGTAATTGGTGCAGATTGATTTTATGCCTCAAGCCCAGTCGCCAGAAGAGAGTGTTGGCATTGTACATTTGTGCAAACCATGCTACATTTGTACATTTCATACGCATAATATCAAAGTTTCTAAGATGATGTAGTTGACTACATACGAGCGGATTTTGTCATCCGGAGATGGTGGATTGTGTGACACCATCTGCCATCCCACACCACTGAAGACTATTGTTCAAGACCTACAAAGAAAAAATTTGATTGTTTTTAGCTGAGCTACTAAAATTGTGCCACCAAAAACAAGTAATAAAAGCCAAAACAGGATCTTTTCCTAATGATAACCAAGTGTTTTTTTGTGCCTAAACATAGCCACACATTAACCACAGCATTTTTGAAATATAAAGAAATTTACAAATGTTACATATCCATGCTTTGCAGAAACGTACATATGCTAATATCCATTTTGGTGACTGGGTTGAAGGCTCATATCCACTTTTCTGCAGTATGTCATGACAGGATCTGGGTCGGATCTGACACTGATTGAGTGCAAGACTTTCTGAGAGTGTAGATTTTGAGGTGTACCCTTGCAGAGAATCGTCTATTTCATATTGTATATTTTATCTGAAGTACTGTTTTGTGAACATTTTCATCATAAATACATATATATATATATATATATATATACAGTATATATATTAAACTTTTTTCACATGTTCATATGTGTCTGCATATGTTACTTTAATGCCGTGCATTCATTTTCACTGAAAGCTGTGTACACCAGTACACCTGGAAACTTTACAGCCCTCAGTGGTTTTCCAAACCATAAGGTTATTGTATATGATATCACCTTCATGGTGACAGACCTGGTTCACTGTAGCAGTGGAATTTAGACTCTGACAAACACACTCACCTGCAGTAAATTTACTGTACTGATATGGAGTTTTTTGCATAAAACAAATACATGGAGCAGACCAAACACAAGCACTATTGTATTTTACTTTAAGCCCCTAATCATGAGATAACCCAACCAACACAGTTCACAAGTGTTTGTCTGGCTCACTGCGTACACTGCGGGAGGAAGGAGAGAACTGCTCTGGGTCCACTGAGTAATAATGTAAGTGTTTGTTAAAATATTTTTTCTTGATAGGCATGTACTTTAGGTATTACATCATTTGGTATTGTGTCATTGCTTGTCAAAGTGTAAAGATTACATGTCGGCGAATGTAATCTAACCAGAAAAGTTGAACATTTGAATCATAGACATAGGAACTGAGGTGATGGATTTTAAATATAACTTTAAGTAGAGCTGTATGAAAGACTTTGGCCAACAATATCCATGTCTAATTTTTACTTTACTGACTGTTTTTGAGTTTTGAATTTGGGATAGTTTCTGCAGCGTTTCCATTATGAGAACTGACCCCATATTTGTCTCTGTTAATCAGGTGTGAACTAGGCTGCTGTATCCATGGGAGAGCAATCTAACAAGAAGAGAGGGACAGAAAGAGGAGGGGAAAGGAACAAAGGAACTTCTGCTATTTTTCAAAACAAGTACTGTAGTTAAAATCAAGTGCAATCCTTTGATTAAGCAGAAACCTGCTTTTAACATTTTAGCACTGTTGGAATCCAGAGAGTAAGCTCATATTTGTGGGTATTTGATCACATAGAAAAAGCAACAAAAGAACAACGGGGGGTGTCATATACTATGCTGCTTTGCTCTGTTTTGTTTCATCTGTCTGAGTTTACAATTTTTTATTTTTTATTTTTTTGTGGATGTGAAATAACATACAGCTGAGATACACTGAATATATCTGCACTTAAATGTTGCCCCTCATTACTGTTTTTTATGTATTCCGTCAGTCACATATTCAGAGCAAGCTGCACAATGGCTCCCTTACTGCTGTTACTACTACTGCCCGGATCGCTGGCCTGCCATGGTATGGATGTCAGTTTTATCTGTGTAGGTTTTGCTCACAAAAGAAAGAGTTATCCACAAATTCAAATTAGGTCAAAAGTTATTTTATTATTTAGTCATTTCTTTGTTTTTTGCTATTTATTTTTAAGGTAACTATTTCAGTCAAAGCAGAAGTAAAATAGCACACGGTTGGTTATCTAGCACCGCAGCACATAAGAGGACTGACTGGGAGATGGTCCTGTGGAGTCTAAAAAGGAAAAAAGGAAGAGCTAGTATTGTTGAAAGTCAAATCATTGTACTTAGTAGGGGACTAAAATTCCATTGCACCTTATCATTTCTTAGATTTTCCCTAATAAATGTAGCCATCCCACTCCACTGTTAAAAGCCACTTTGCTTTCTTATGCTTCACACACTTCTTTGAAGCTGGGGAACATCTGTAAAACCCCTAACACATTTGGTACCTGTAAATCAGAAAGAACAAAAATGAACCTTTTTAGAGATGACATTAAAAAGCGAGAAGCTGGACATCTTGTGCTCCTAAGTATGCCAGTGTGATCTTTATGTCTTCAAGAATGTGCTTACCTTTTAGCCCCTTTCCTACTGCGCAAAAAACCCCACTAACACCTGCTACCATTTGGCTTTTGATTATTTGTTGGTTAAGGTTACAGTCACAGACAGGTTAAAGACATTCACTGGACAAATGACTATGCAGTAGTCCCAGGTATTTATCAACTCCTGCTCCAATGTGGATGGTGGATGTGCTAATTTCCACTGCTTGATACAATGATATGCTGCTACAAATACCATCTATCTCTGTCCAAGCCAGCCTGTTTTCTCTCCCAACTCGTCAAACGCTGCCATTTTGTCAGTGGATCTTGGCACCACATAACAACGTACAGTGGCACCCTTTGCGGCAGTATGATATGCACAGGGCAGTGGTTGTTTTTCATGCAGCGGAGAGCAACCCAACTTGACACACTCTATCAGTGGACCTTGGTGTCAGACAGTGAGCATAGAGGCAATGTTTTTAGCAGTATGATACGTGGCAGTTTGTGACTCTACCAGCAACTATACCTTATCATAAACAGTGAGAAAGTCTGTATAGGGCAGGTGGGAGGGAAGGTGAATGAGTCAAGCAAAATTCCACCTGGGAGCCCATTGTTTCTCCTCTAGACCTAGCCACGTGATTTTGGTTGCCTAAATCCAAGGAAGTAAACCTAAAAACGAAGTGTTTTACCCTTGTCGTAAGTTTATTTAAAAAAGACTGTATGCAAGTAATGAGTAGAAACTTTTTTCTGTGAAAATGGAAGTGTATTTTGAAAAGACACAATACATGGAACAAGAGTAAATTGATGCGCCGTCCCTGAAATTGTAAAAGTGACGCAAAAGGGTACCTAACGTCATATTTTGAGGTGTAGATCCGCTGACAAAGTAGCGGTATTTGATGAGTTGGGATGAGAATGTGTTGCATCAGCACTGGAACATTGTTCAAAATTAGTCGGGACCAAGTCTGAAAGAGAGAGACTAAGTAACAGACATAAAAAGAAGTAACTACCGTAACCTCTTCACTGGCTTCCATGCTGCTTTCTACTGTTTACTAATATGTTTCTGGTGCAGTGGAGTCTGTGATTCTAATCCAAGACACTGTCAAATTCAACAAATATCTCCTCACAGTCCACTAGCTGTCGGTTATGTGTGTGTGAACTGAACCCTCTTCCATGTCCTCGCCCATGAGGAACCATGATAGTAATGAAACATAAATAACATCGGGATACTACCGGAGCTTCTGAAGGAGCGCAGACAGGAGGGGTGTATTTCTTCGAATGCTGACTTTAAATATCAATTATCTTTCTCCACAAAGACTCACACAGATTCCACCTGAAAATATGTTGAAAAGTCTTCTTTCATGTCTTTGTTCCTGAAGATGTGTAAGATACAGTAAGTTATTTCTCATCTTCTGTTTTTCTGTTCAGTTCATCTCAGCATTTCAGATGGTAACATTAACTTTACCATTAACACCAGCCACACTGTAATTACTGACAATCGGCCTGATACTGTGACAAGTTCAGAGGATGGATTTCCCTGCCACATTGAATGCACGCTCAGCAACTTGACCGTATGGCGCAATAAATCATTTGATTGCTTCAAGGCTGAAGAGACACGAGGTCCCAACATGACCGAGTACAGAATAACACAAGGTAAATACACTATCTCTCAAGAAGACTGATCACTACAGAATGAGGCACAAATTATCTCTGATCAGAAAGGTGCTGTGGCTGATTTGCCCTGTCTCCTAAAATATCTGATTTCTCTCTCACTTCTCAGATAGCAGTTGCAGTGTCTACATGTGCACCGACACTAGCATCTTGCCACTCATTGCTTCACTGGCTAGTAACAACTCTGGCCAGACAGCAATGATGCAACTCTCCCACATAAGGTATAGCTGTCCAGAGCTCTTCAGTAGCAACCATCAAGTCAAGAGAGCCTTTATAAGGTAAGTGTCAGAGTTGCCTCTGTCTGCTGCTCTCGAGACACACTGAATTAATTTCTCCTGTTTTTGGTCAAACTGTTTTAGCCACGGCTCTTAGGATGGCAATATTGGCTTGTCAGTCAATTACACCACTTTGGTCCAGTAGGAAATGCCTCAGCCACTGCAGGGGCTTTTGCACAAAATGTATTTACCTATAAATTAAATGTATTTATTTATAAATATATATGAATGACTACAGAGTCGCTGTTGGTGCTGTCATTTTCCTGATCTACAGTATAATAATCATGCAATATTATTATATTGTAGTGATGCTCTTTACACAGCAATGTCCCATCAGATCAGCTGACCCAACAATAAACAGATTTTGACTGAAGGGCTGTTGTCTCTTCTCTTCTTATCTCCTCCAGGATGTATTTAAGAAAGTACAGCATCCTCAATGATGATGAATTTCCAATTCAGATTAAATCATCATAATTCTTAAGTCAAATGAGTGTTTTCATGGCTTGGCGCTGGCGATAGCTGTGGCCAGAGGCATTATATCTTTGGGTTCTTCGTCTGTCCGTCCCATTGTCATGAGCCTATTGTCAAGCACTCCTCGAGGGAATTTCTTTACATTTAGTTCAAACATCTACTTGGACTCAAGGATGAAGTGACTAGAATTTAGTGGTCAAAGGTCACTGTGACTTCACCAAACATGTTTTTGGCCATAACTCAAGAATTCATATGTTAGTTCATGTCTTAATTAGTGTGGACCACTGCTGAATTTTGTTTGTACCAAACAGAAAATTCTAAGTAAGAACAAACTCTCCAACAAAGCAAACTAATCTGTTTGAGGTCCATTGTCTCTCTGCAGTGCGGAAAAAAAGATGATTGATGACATCATGGGAACATCCCAGCCTGAGCCTGGAGGCTTTGTTTACTGCAACCTGAAAGACTTTTCTATGAATGTGTACAACATCAGTGAGGCTGACCTCAACTCCATAAACTCCAGGATCCAGCTAAAAGCCCCACAGGTACACAAGCTATGATAAAAATAGTGCTAATAAATGTAGAAGGAACAACCAGGGGTGAAAATCCCATTTCATAGTTGGGGGGGACAATAAACAGTAAAATTTTAGAGAATAATTCCAGGGGGGGAAGAGGAAAAAAAGTTGTAGCCTGTCTTTTATACAGCATCTTTTACCGCAATTTGACGCTTTAATCTTTTTTCTATCTCCAACAGGCAGGCATAGGACTTTTCTTAGCGCTGGCTGAGTCCACCTGCACATGTCCAGATTTAAAGCCACAGTGTGTAGGAATTTCTCCCATCTAACGTTGAAATCATATATTGTATTCAAACAGATGGCGCACTCTAGTGCCTCACTGAACAATGAACAATGCAGGAGAAATGTTGCAGACAGTTTATATTATCAGCCTGGGCCTGGGGCTTGTTGTAACAGTAAATGGGATGTGTTGTAACTTGTGTAAGTTAAACTGTATCTGCGAGAGTACATCTTACCCCGCGCGATGTGGGCAGCCGGGTCCAGCCACACGCTGCAACTGCTGCCAAGTACTAACGGCTGCTAGCCCCGCCCATTGGAAAGAGTGTGGGATATACCAAGGGAGAGGGGGACTAAATCTTTTAAGATTTAAATAGCACATTATTGCGCTTTTATAATGAGCACCGCTTACATTGTGCTTTTAATAAATACTACTGCATTATTCAAAAATTATTAATTGTGTCTCAAATTATTCTAGGGGGGTACAGCTTTATTGAAGGGGGAGTCATGTCCCCCCTGTCCCCCCCCCCGGGATTTCCGCCCCTGGGAACAACGATGATAACGGTGACATGATGGTGAACTTTTCTGGCTGACATGACATTAGGCAGTGCTCAGTTAAAACAAACCTTGTTGACCAATGTTAAGATTGACATTTTTTTATATTCTGAGTGACAAATTGCCCTGCTTAACCTCATCTTCTTATATCAACTGTTAGCTGCTGCCTGAAAACAAGTCATACATCCCTGACGTTTGGCTGCCTGCGTATGCCCTTCGCACTATCCCAAAGGAGAAGAGGATCATTGGTTTGGTCAGCTACATGCAGCACAGCCAGTTCCAAGTATTTCCTTTGTCCTATTTACCCTCTTTTTTCAGTTTAAACATTAGTCATAGTTGTGAATGTTGGCAGATTGTTTGGTCATTGTGGTTGTGACATAATATATGTACTGTATGTATTTATATGTTTCTTTTCTTGACTATATTGAAACTGTCTCGCAGTTTAAACAGGAGGAAATCTCATCGATGGTTCTCAGGATAGAGCTACTGGGCGAACAACTTCATAATCTGACAACACCAATCAAGATGACTTTCAGAATTCCTCCACACACAGATGTGGGAAGTCTAATTAAGCTTGTATGCATTAATGTTTTTAATATCCATCTGTTTGATTTGGCAAATTTGTGCCATGTCAAATAGATTAACTTGAACTTGATAAATTTTGGCTTTGAGCATTTCTGCAAACCAAGAACATGTTATATTTCCACATAAGTGAACAAATTAAAACTATGTATTTTCAAAAATGCATTGGCTAACCTGTGGTTAGCTTTAGGCACAAAAACCACTTGGTTATGTTTAGAAAAAGATCATGTTTTGGCTGAAAATACCCTGTTTGGAGGGCACAATCCCGGCCAGAGAAGCAGCGATGTTATGGTATGAATCAACTGAATTTCTTGCCAAAAAAGCCGCTGGGAACATCAGTGACTAGCTAAATCACAGCCCATTTTTGGCTGGTCTTGAACAGAGCTCTGCAATGGTCTGCAGCTCAACAGGCATCTCGCCAACACATTCTCACTCCAAACTTGTCAAATACCGACACTTGGTCAGTGGCCCGTCACATCAGTTATGACATGCTAGGTGCTCTCTCTTTGGACTTTCAGGGACGATGTGTCAATTTACGCTTGTTACATGCATTGTCTCTTTTTCAAAATAAATCTCAGTTTTCCCAGATGATGTATGGTTTCTGCTTGTTAAATGCATACAGGCTTTCTTAAAATAAATAAGTAATGAAAACGTTTTTAGGTTTATGTCCTTAAATTTAGGCAACTAAAGCCTGTGGTATTACAATATATATATATATATATATATATTAAAAAAACATCATGGTTTGGGTTTAAATTGGCATGATTGTTACTAACGTACATACATCACATGACAAACGTCAGTAGCATACCACATTGTTATTACAATAACTCCATTAACATTTGGTTTCGCATGGGACACAAACAGCTGGCTACCAGGTGAAAGTCCAGAGTTTGTTTGGCCCATCCACCTAATCTTCCCACCTGGCAGACTTCCTCACTCTTAATACCACAGTAGTTGCCCGGAACATCAACAAATGCCCCTGCCAGGTTGTCTCATACTGCCACTAAAGTGTGCCTCTGTGCGTTGGTGTGTGATGCCAATGGGCCACTGATCAAGTGTCAAGTATCAAATTCTGACATTATTTTTATACCTTTGTATTTTAATAACTTGGTTTAAATGTACATTTTGTTCCTGCAGCCAAGCAGTCCATCAGTCCATCTGTGCCTCCTTAATAAGGATACATTGTATTTTTTTGGTGCATAATCGCACAAACTGTCAAATCAAATTCATCCCAGAGTTTACAGAACACCACATCACTGAACACTTGATTTTATCACAGTGTTTTGTTAAATCTACTTTTAATCTGTTGGGTAAGCTTGTTTGACTGCATGGCATGTACAACTGTTAACTATGTTTTTTGCATTTTTTTACAGAATGAATCATTACAGTGTCACTATTTTAATGAAAATGGTGGGTTGTATGTTGGTTTTTGCTCAGAGCAGGATAAACAGGAAATAACTGGAACTGTATTCTCTGTTTATTACTGACAATTTGGAGATAATACATCAGTATGTTTCACATTTGCAGCAAAAAACGTTTGCAAAGTTATAAAAATTGGAAGTACCTGGAAAATAAGCAAGTCAGGAGAGAAAATCTCAGTTACATACAGTATTTAACTTTGTGATGGTAGTCCATCTTATTATGTGTTAGAATGTTTAAAAATGTTTTTGTTTTTTTTTGTTTTTGTTTTTGTTTTGTTTTTTTAAAGTGATGTTTGTTGATCATGCTATTTAGAAAGCCAGCAGAATTAGATCTTATTAAGCTAACTAAGTTATAATGTTCATGTTCCCAGAGTGGCTCTGGAAAACAGATGGCTGTGAGACCAATGGTAGCCAGACTGAGATCATTTGCAGCTGTGACCATGCAACACCTTTTGCTGTCCTACTGGTAAGAAGACAAACTTGCTGTCACTAACTCGCTCCTGATGATGTAGCCTTTGTTGATTTATTACCTTTTATACAGGAAATAAAAAGTACAACAGATGACAGTCATCTTTGATCATCTCTATCTATTCAGCAGTGGTGCAGTGCTGGTATTAACCCAGCATTAGAAATCCCACACTGTCTTGTTCCAAGATGTTGGTGAAAGTTACGCTGTAGATCACACTTAGTTTCCACACTTCCATATTTTTTGCAGATCAGAGAGCCAATTGCAGAAATCCACTGGAAAATCCTGTCATACATCAGTTACATAGGCTGTGGCCTGTCTGCGTTCTTCACTGCTTTGTCCCTGGTGATATATGTCTTCAGTCGGTAGGTATACAGGTATTCTAGGCATTCTATACAGCTACCTCTCAAACTTTTTCATCCTACCAGCCACTTCTGTATTGCCAGTCAAATGATCAAGTAAACTTATTGAATGATACATTTCTGAGTGTTAGCCCCTTTTCTTTTCATGGTTATCGTACCAGGCAGATATCAAACTTGGAGGAACAATCATACTGGGCTACCACTACTGAAAAATCTTAGTGTGTCTATACACACAGAGGCAGAGACACAAGAAAAGTAGACATACTGTGGAGGCCATACTTTTGAACATTTTGATGGTATCTCTGCACGCCAGCTCTGTCAAATACACCACACTCTTCTTCACCAGAACCACAGTGTGTATGGGCTGTAGCTGCTGCTGTATTGGGTCAGTCATGGGTCTCATTAAATAAAAAACGCTTACAGTCATTGGCTGCAAGCAATACTATACAAATAGTCATTCTATTCTAGACCTGGGTACAAAAAGGATTGAATGCAGGTATCATTGTAATGAAGAAGTGAGGGTACTACTTGGTACCAGGCTAACGGCAGCCTCCAGAATGAAGCTAACGCAGTGCCAAAAACAGCAGTTCTTTGAGCAGCTGCTTGAGGCTGGCTCGGGAGGTTACTCAATCCATAGACCCCCATGTTAAAATGCAAAACTTCAAAGCAGAAATAAACATGTTCACAGCCTGGAACAAACAATGGTTTCTATAACTAATTCCAACATTCATGACAACATCTGTACAGGGGGTAAATTTTATTTGACTCACCCGTTTAACATTTTATTAAGGCTTAAATTTATGCATAATTAAGGGCAGGGCCACTTGAGTGACAGGCTGACTGTTGCCACCTGTAGCCTATGGGTCAGATCAACCCCTCATTCCCCACAGCTCCATCTTCTTGGTCAATTCTGGCTCCAAAAATCCAAGATGGCAACAGCCAGAAAGCCAAACTCGAGTCCACAAACCAATGGGTGGTCATGGTAGCTACATCCGTTATTTCATACAGTCTATGGCACTGGGTTATTTCGATCGATACTTTAGGTATTGAGTAGGGGTGTAACAATAAATTGGCATGTCTGTGTCACAATTTCCATGTAAGTTACCCTCCTTCCTAAATATTCAAACAGTGCTGACAGCTTAGCGCCAGGCAGACAATGGTAGGCAGCCAAGAAAAAAAGACAATGAGGAAATTTAGTGGTCTCATATCGATTGCAGGCACCTGAACTGCAACTGAATCAAACTGAAAGTGTATCATGGCAGACTTTGTGATATCAGCAAACATTGTATTGTCCAAAGAATCGCTATAATGTCGTATCAAAAGAAACTTGTGATTTGAACCCCTAGAATAACGTACTGATACCCAGCCCTATTTTTCCAAATTTAAAGAATCACATTCACCATGAGTATCCTACAGGCCCACAATATTTCTCTGCCAAGGTTACAATAGTGTTGGTTATTTCACTTAAGGGATTTCTGTATTCTTTTTTCTCTGCACTCTTTAAAGATACAAATAAGGGTTTTGCTTTCTTTGTATTTGGTGTTTCTTTACTCATAATCAAGATCAAGAAATGGCTCCAAATCCTGTCTGATTTTCATAAAGCACCCTATCTTGCTTGTGACTTGTTTTTCTCTTTCTGTCTCTTCCTCAGAAAGCACAAACTGCATTACTCCATCTCTATCCACGTTTCTCTGAGCGGGGCCTTGTTTCTGCTCAACTCAACCTTCCTGCTGACCGAATGGGGGCCCAAAGTGAAGCCGGACTGGGTGTGCGTGTTTATCGCCGCTTTCATGCATTATGCTTTGCTCTGCTGTTTCACCTGGATGGCCATAGAGGCACTTCACCTCTATCTACTGCTGATAAAGGTGTTTAACACTTACTTCAAACACTACCTGGTCAAACTGTCTCTTGCTGGATGGGGTGAGTGAAGCAAGCGCACCTACTGTGTTGACTACCTGCTGGTGTGGTGTGAGATAACTTTCATGATATCTCCAGTTTTACTTATTACTGAACTTTGCTGATTGACAACAAAATGTTTGGATGAATGTTTTACACCATCAAACTTCATCACAGCATCACCAGAAATATGTTGACGTGATGCCATGTTTTGTATGCTTAGTATATGAAAAGTCCATCAGGAGCAGGTTGTCTCTTTAATAACCTAGTGATGTTAAACTGTGTGTGTGTGTGTGTGTGTGTGTGTGTGTGTGTGTGTGTGTGTGTGTACACTTGTGATTCTCAGGGATCCCTGGTGTAATCGTAGCAGTCTCTTTGGGAGTGAAGGACTTCAAACAGTTTTACGGAGTTACACAAATGACCATTGCTGATACTAATCAAACTAATGCCTTGTAAGTAAGCTAACTGCTTTTAGCATGACAACAGGAATCAACAATTTCAACAATATCAATCCTTAAAAAAACACAATCTGACCTGTCACAATCACAGAGCATGGTAAAATGTCATTTTTACACATTTATATATGATCATACAGTGTTTGTTGGTTTTGGCCGTTTTCACACAGTTTTTTGTGTGATTTCTGTGGCAAAAGGCCTTCAGGTTATTACAATCTTTGTTTATTTGGTGAAACCCATGCTTACTAATGGTAACATCAAGTGTGGTTTACAGTATTAAAAAACATTAGCATGTGCGAAGACGTTTTGAGTATCGCAAGGGAATGGCGGACTCCGCCACCAACACTGAAAACTTATGTAGAGAGGTGATGACAGACTGTAAACACATTTAATGGCTACTGCTGAAAAAACAGCAACCATTAATAGTATCAAAAACTGTATTTCATTTCATAATAAAAAAAGGACTGTAGCTTTAAACATTTAAGATGTAATAATAATAATAATTATCATCATCATCATCTATACTGTACTGTATGTCTTCTGTATGATCTGTTGTGAAAGTATTCTGACAGTCCATTGGGTTGCCCACAGCTGCTGGATCACTGATGACTCTTTCTTCTACTCCTTGAACCTGGTGTATTTCACCCTTATATTCATCTTCAACTCTGGCATATTGATGGCAGTGGCCTCTAACATCTGCAAGATGAAACGAGTGTTCAGGAACAAGTCCAAGCTTGGAGTGCAGGCTGATGGAGAAACATGGAACGACTCGAGGTTCAGTGAGTCCTGCAGGAGTGGCCTCACTGTGATGGGTCTTACCTGCCTGATGGGGACCACCTGGGGCCTGGCCTTCCTGGGCTCAGGATATGTCAACTACCCCATCCTCTACCTCTTCTGCATCCTCAACTCCACACAAGGTCTGCTGTCACTTCTGAGTTTGTCTCTGTTAAAATGTTTTTAACCTGTCTATGTGTTGACAGGTTTGTCTTTATTAAATGTTACCAGCTACCAGTTTAATAATTAATGTGTCTCTTTGTCAAGGTTTCTTTATTTTCCTGTGGATCTGCCTGTCGGCCAAGAAGCAGAGGAAGAGAGACATGGAGGACAAACTGTCCTCTACTCCTGTGAAGTCTTCAGGAGTCAAATTTGATTAGACTCCCTTTGCTGCCATTAGTCCTGATGATAAAGGCCTGATGTAATCACTGATAGCATAGCTGTGCTGGTAATCCCCATGTAACCACAGAAACTCCCATATGTAACCCTGTTTGAAATGTCCTTAAACTGTAAAACACTTTTATCTGTAACTTTATTATTATCCTCACGTAAATGTACATTTATTTTTTAGGCTTAAGTGTCATTTTAGTGAAGCTCTTTCCTTCACTAACCTACTATAGAATTTTGTACCTGTGTTTCTGAATAAAGTCTTAATATACCAGAATAGAGCAATGGTAACTTGTTGCTATTTGTAAATGGTTTACATTTTTTTTAAAATCATATAGCTTTGAATTATTTATATCATATATTAATGGGACAGTTCAGATTTGTTGAAGTGGAGCTGTATGGGGTACTTATCTATAGACAGTGTATTACATACAGTAGATGTCAGTTGTTACGCCCCCAGTTTGGAGAAGCAGGCAGTAGTCTGACGTGGAAGTTACGCAATCGACTGCTGTGGAGAGGTCAGCAACAAAAAACATTTTAGCCACATAAAAAAGTCCCACCTGAATATTTTCACAGCTTTACCTTGCTGTCAGACAGTGATTTCCAACGGGACAATAAAGCCGGTATATTGCTGTCTTCAAGGCCAGACTTCAATGAGAAAATCAATTATTTAACATCAGCTGAACACAGGATTTGCCGGTCTACCACTGCCTTGAACAATTATTTTGTGTTTCTGTGTGACTTTGGCTTTTAAAAGTTTGAATTCAGATTCACTAAAGTCACACAATGGCAAAAACTAACTAACAGATTAAGGCAGAGGAAAGCAGCTCTCATGTTCAGTGAACTAAAATTACTGTTTTTCTCAGTAGAGTCTGGTTGGTCTGATGAGAGCAGAGATGAGTAACTGAAGCTATTCATGGCTTCCCCTTTGAAACAGGCTTTCTGGTGGAAAGGTAAAGTGATGAAAATATTCTTAATATGCCATACACTTAAATTGATATTGCTTTTTGTAGGTAGCTAAAATGTGTTTTGTTGCTGACTCCTTCACAATAGTACATTGTTAAGCTTCCATGTCACACCCCAGTGTGCCAACAGATTGATTATGGAAAAGTACCGCTTACAACCCCACTTCAAAAAATCAGAACTATCCCTTAAAGAATATATGAATACGTGTGATCAGGGGCGTAGCCATCATTTCAGAAGTGAGGGGGACAAATTGTTCAGAGGTCTATTGAGTGATTTATCATCCTCTCGCATTCAGTTGCACCTCTCCATAGCGGCTAAAGAACCACATAACCACAAACAGCCACAGTACAGCACCAAGGGACTGACCGAAGATGGATATTTTCCCCAAAATTACATTTGAATTAAATTATGAGTGGTCGTCAGGAGAGGACGAGGAAAAGGAAAGCCAGGACTCTTCTGTGCAGACCTCCAGGTGTGTTTGTGTAACATCAGCCGACCTCGACAAACTGGAGATTAGCAAAAATTAAGCGAACACGGTCAGGAATTATCAATGATCATCTGATGAGCCTCATAGACGACCACTCATAATTTAATTCAAATGTAATTTTGGGGAAAATATCCATCTTCTTGGTGTAACGCCAGTGTCAGTTTGCGTCACTGTGAGTGTAACAACTGGTTAATTAATGGTTGTGTTTATATTTATAACACCTGTGAGCAGAGTGATTTTACTGTTACAAGTCCCAGTGATGTTATACTCTATATCAGCACTCATGGAATGCTTCTCGTCCATTCAAATTACTTTTTCGGAACTAATTGTTGTATAATTAACTTTATGTCTTAGCCAAACAGAACACTTAAAATCAGCACTATTTTACTACATGTTGTAATTTGTAGACTACTTAAGTAGCCAAACATACCCATACCTCACATCAAAGTGTAGTGTGTGGCATATCCGATGTACATGAGTTATTACCTCATTGTTTTGAGTTAGTATCCGTCAATGATGTTATCCATCATGACTGAGAGATGAAGAGTATGGATTGTCAAAGGCTGTAACTGTACTCATTCACCTCATTATTGGACTTAGTATCTCATTATTTTGACTTAGTATGTCATTATTTCGACTTAGTATCTCATTATTTTGAGATACTATGTCATTATTTTGACTTAGTATGTCATTATTTTGACTTAGTATCTCATTATTTTGAGTTATTAGATCTTATTTTTTTATCATCAAGTGGTGGAAATGGGCTTCCATACCCATGCGTGTGATGTGTATGTGTGCTGCCAACTTTGGAAAACATGAAGCAGTTGCAGTGTCAGTTTCGCTTCCCCAGAAGGCTGTAAGTGTCAGTACTTGTTTACAATTGTGACGAGACAATTTCTTTTTTTCTTGCGTTAATAGGAAAACAGTAACATTCAGAAACTTCCTCTTTTCTCAAGGCACTTTACTCTACTCTTAGAGATTTAGTCATGTTGAAATATTGACATCCTTTGTTTCTGTGAACAACCACATTGTAAGTGGTGAATTTATTTTCTTCTCTCTCAGTGATAATTACTATAAATCAAAATGTGACAGTTTACTCTCTCATAAGCAGATCAAATAGATTCCCTGTCAAAATGAACATCAGTAGCTTAAAAGAGTTGGGGCATAATATTTCCTTTAAAAAATATGTCAGACATGAATCACTTTTAGTCTGTATGAGCTCTCCACCCCCTCTCCACCACCACCATGTGACATATGTAGATGTGAAACTTACTGCTCATTCAACAGGCAAACCTCACACAAGCAGAACAACACTGCATCAAACAGTCGCACCATATGTGTGTTGGAGAAAAAGTGAGACATGATGTGGATTACTCTGTTTCTGGTGACACTTGTGTGGGTTTCAACAACCCAAGCTGATGGTGAGTTTTTCTCTTTTTATTGTGTTTTTTTATGGTTGTGTGCTTATGAGTCAAATGCAGTTTTAACGGTTAATACATTAAGATCCTAGATCTGTAACACCAGAGGCAAATGATGTCACTTATGGTACTGTGTCACCCAGCCCGAGGGACTCTGACTCAACCTGTAAGTGGTGATCATATGTCACATATAAGTTTAATCCTATTCACCTGTCTGTCTTATCTCCATATTTTGTACTACCTCTGACTTTTTCCACTTTTTTTCTCTGTCACTCTGACAGACTACTGTGAAAACGTCCTCAGAGACTGTGAAACTGACGTCCTCTGGATCAGGTAACTCATACTGCTCTAATAAATGCTGGGATAGCTTTGACATGATTGTGACACCCTGGAACAAAATAAGTACATAAAAAGCGACTGAGAAAATTATTAATTATAACTTACCATGTTGTTGTCGGAGGAAATATTTCTCTTCATCAGCCTTTTAGGAACTAAACGCACATGACTGTGCATTTCTCTGCTAATACCACAGTGTTTTGAAATGGCTTTATCAGCCAAAGAGGTGTTCACCTTCTTCAACCTATAAATGAGTGTGGCATAAAAATCATGTCAAAGGTTAAAAAAACAACTAAGATGTGTTGTTTGCTCACCTAAAATCAATACCTATCAATGTTCATGTAAGTGTTTGTATTGCTGAAATGCTGAAATATGTGTTGGTAGGTGTTATGAGAAAGGAATTGGGAGCTGTATACCAAAACGACGTGGGCCTATAAGAGACTTCATTCTTCTGCAGGCAAACTCGTCTCAAGAGGTGAGAACAAAATTTTGGATAACTGGCTTCGAGCTCTTGTCTCATCTGGCTATCAGACAGTCTAAAGTTTTATATGAAATGCATCAACAAATGAGCAGAACAGAAGGAAAATAGTTTGAGTTGTTTACTCATCATACACATAGGGTTCAGGATGTTAGTTTCCACTGCAATGTCTTTACTCAGAACATGTGCAGAAACCAGTGCAATCACCAACAAGTTCATCTCTATATCTAATATCTCTATCTAATAATACCAATCCATTTTTTGCATGTTTTGTGTAAACTGTATGTTTTATGTTTTGTTTAGGCTGAAGTGAGTCCCACTTCTAAACACAGGGTTTACATTCCATCCTCAGCTCTCAGGAGAAGCAGAGGAGATGAGTCTCAGGAGGAGGAGGTACGGCTGGTGGCCTCTGTGGTCAACAGCACTTTCTTCAAGGTCAGTAGTTGCTCTGAAGGTAAACGAGTCCATCCCTCATTGATCGCCCTTATTAATCAAATGCTAATCAGAATAGATGTGTACATAAAGAGAAGTAGGCAAATTAAGGAATTTGTTTAGCTTTGTGAAATCTAATGTGCGAAAGGAGGATGGATGCAGAGGAGGACCTTCATATTATTGTGACACTGGCCTCTACTTTAAGTTAGCTCCTTCTGTATAATTACACAAGTGCCTTCCCCTCATGTCGATTTGCATTGATTTCCACACACTCACAGTAGCCATTGTGTATATTAAAATGAAGGAAAGGTTGATTGAGGAAGCTGATTTACCTTTAATTTACAGTACAGTATGTCATGTGTTGCAGCTGAGTCCCTCTCAGAGAAGACCACGTGTGAAACTTTTCACACCAGTCCACATACAAGGCACTGTTCTGGGGGGGTTAGTTCTGGTAGTGAAGGCAGGGAAGTATGCTGTCCAAAACCTTCCAGAGCCTGTCAAATTAAACTTCCAACACAACAAAGAGGTAAAGAGACTAAACCAGCTATTACAGTGTTATATTTGCAGCATGTATCAATCTCCTGTCCTCTTATACTTTGAATATGTTTCAGGAGGTGAATGGGACGTGTGTGTTTTGGCAGGAGTCAGATCTTGACAATACAACAGGTAGGCTACACATGCCAGCCTACAGTCTTTTTGCTCTTAAATAAACAGTCAGATTTATACATTATACCGTGTGTGTGTTTTAGGTCATTGGAGTGCAGTCGGCTGTGAGACCAGTGACACAGGAACTGAATTTATTTGCAGTTGCAACCACCTGAGCTTCTTTGCTGTGCTTGTGGTAAAATAAACATTTTCTCTCATCAGTCAAACGCTAACTAATGTACAATCATTTGCCATGAAGAGATGTTTTCAGTAATTGTTTTCAATAATCTAAAATGTAAATGTGTTATGTCCTGTGTCACAAAAAGAGTTGCGTGCCTGATAAGTAGGGTCATTGGCTTGTGGTGTGTTTTCTCGTCACTTGTTGGTTAAGCAGTCTCTGTGGGTGGCGGCCCCCTGCTCTGTCTTAAAGCTACAAGAGACCTCACGCTTAATTGTAACGTCAATCAATATGATTATAAATGTATTTAATTATTTATTTAGTGGTCGTTGATATACAAAGATACTGCCTTTACTGCTAGCACAGTCTGCAACCACGACTAATCTGTATCATTCAGTCCAGTTTGCCTAATTTCCCAAGATTTAGAAATAAAACAAGCCCATACTTTGCCACACAGTTCTACCTCTCATTTTCATCAAACCAAAATAATTCAGAATTTTTATGCCTCAGCGCCAGCGATAGCCGTGGTCCAGGGGAATTATGTTTTCAGGTTGTCTGTACGTACATACATCCGCACATCTGACGTACATACATCATGTCTGTCCCATCCTTGTGAACACAATATTTTTAGAATGCCTCAAGGGAATTTCTCCAAATTTGGCACAAATGTCCACTTAGACTCAACAAGGAACCAATTAGTTTTTAGTGGTCATAGGTCAAAGTCTGTGTCATTCTTGTGAATGTGGTATCTCAAGAACGCCTCAAAGCCTCCTGAAATTTTGTGGTCAAAGGTTCAAGGTCAGTGTGACCTCCCAAAACATGTTTTTGGCCAGAATTCAAGTATTTGTAAGTAAGTATGACAAAACTTCACACAAATGTCCGACAAGATAAAAAAAAATGTAATGACGATGTTTTATATCCAAAAGGTCAAATGTCAACTTCACTGTGACATTTTAATTTTCTGCATTAAACACTTTAATGGGCATTATTCAATGTCATATCTCAGGAACAGAAGGGGAGACATTTGGTCAGATACTTAATTGATGACACTAATCTTGGGTGTCCACCTTGAATTTGTGCTGAATGAATAGATGTTCTTTGCTGTTGGGGTGACAATGGGTGTGAAGCGTCCATGTTTTCACAGACATGTGTGGAGGCATACAGACATGGGGTGGTAATTCTAGTTTGTTCTGTGTTCTTACAAACGTGCATGCAGATTATCATATATATTTCAAATGTGCACTCAGAGCACAAGCTGAGACGATAGACTACAACTGAGAGGGTCATGGAGTTCACCGAAACGTGCAATGTTTTATCCCGCATATCACCTATCCGGGTGAAATTCCAAGATTTTAGTGATTATAGGCTGTCACTTGAGGTACAAAATTGTCATTCAAGGTCCCATCCAAAGTCACACAAAATTTGCAAGAGAAAATGCAGATTAATAGCCACTAATTCAGCCAAGCATAAAAATGCAATTTATGCACATTTTTAAATTGCGCATGAATTCCACCTGAATTTTTATTATATCTGCTTCTGTTCCAGAATCCTGAATTATCCGTGGATGAAAGTGACGCTGTGAACCTTAGCTACATCACTTACACTGGATCAGCACTTTCCATCTTCTTCACAGTTATCAGCTTGATCCTCTACATATGTCTACAGTGAGTCTTCACTTCGACTTAAAACGATTATTTCCATAAGACTTGAGGAAACTGTATTGAAATATATAAGGATATCCTTTCACAGAGATGCTGTTGTTATACTGTGCATTGACAATTCGTCATACTGCTTCACTGTTTCACACATAGATGCAGGGGGGTTGATCTAGTTTTCTGTCAGGATGTGGGCATGAACAGGAAGAACATAGTCATAGACCTATATCTGAAACTCAGCTGAATACATACATGTTCTTTTCTAAGCTATAGAGCCCAGAAGTAAAACATTCCGGTCGTCTTCACACAGTGGTGCTTTATAATCAACAGCAAGCTTATCTGCACTGCCAATATAGCCACCCTCTATGTTAGAGTTTTGACAGGCTGTCATGACTAAAAGTGAAACACCACCTCGCCAGTGGTGTCATATGTCATGCTGAAAGTAGCAGTACACTATAACGTAGACAGATGACCAAGGGAATTACTATGCTTTACCCAGAGTGCTTGTGGGATGGTTGACCAGTGTCTGAAACCCTCTCCCCCCACACCTTCCTCATGTCAGAACTGGGGGTTTTGCATTTGACAATTTCTGTAACTTTCCAAATAATAGTCTGACAATTATGCCTCTCTTTCGAGATCTCTTTATTTATTAACACAACTACTTCTGTCACTTTTTGTCTGTACAAAAATCTGACTGCAACACTATGAATGTTTCCAGTAAAGACAAAAGTGATTGCATCTCTACATGTCACACAAACTAGTCTCAAATCAAAGTACTGTGGCACAGTAACCAGACAGTCTGCAGAGTGAAAAAAACTTTTAAACCAGCAACTAAAATAACTTCTAACATCTTAACTGTCTGGGTGAGATAAGTGGGAGGAACTGCCACGTTCAGTGCAAGTGGAAACGCTGCGAAAAGTCCCCAAATAACAATGGGTGTTGCTGTTTGTTGGTCTCCAACAGGAGTCTGTAGCACATGGGTGTCACACCATCCATCAGCTCTTATACCACATGACTGTAGAAATGTTTATATGATATAAAACATACAATTGTAATGTATCCGTTTGCAGAAACGTACAAATCTAACATTTCCTTCTGGTGAATGGGCTGACTGAATCTCCTCAATAGGCAATACAAAAATGATCATAATATATTGTAAACTGTTTCCCCTTCAGACGGCGACGTCCAGAGAAGGCCATCGGTGTGCATTTGCAACTGACAGTAGCACTGCTGTGCCTCCACATCATCTTCCTGCTGTCCAACCTCTGGGTGTGGCAGCTGAATGAGACTGAGGACGGCTGGGTTTGCAGGGGTTTGGGTCTCCTTTTACACTGGTCCCTACTGGCCACCTTCAGCTGGGCAGCTCTGGAGGGATTCCACCTCTACCTTCTCCTAATCCGAGTCTTTAACATCTACGTCAGGAGATACCTGCTCAAACTCAGCCTGGTGGGATGGGGTGAGTGGAGCCTGGTTGAGACAGTGTTTCTGTCAAATGTTTAAGGTGTATGAATTCACTTTCTTTAACTGTGCTATCAATGAGTCAGAAGATTACGACGGATATTTTCAAATTTAAAAAAGTCTTCAATTATTATGTTTTTTATAAATTTGAGAACATCAATGTAAATGCTTAGAATTATTTCCATGACCATGTCTTCACATTGTAATATGGACAGTTTTAATTCAAAGCAATTTCATCAAGTTACAGGGGCCTTTTTTTAACCACTAGGGGCGCAATAAACCAACGTACAGTTTTTGTATCTCAGGTTGTAGCATCAGGCTCCCAGAAACTCTGCTCAGCCTTGCAGCCAGTTTTTCCCAGTGGCCACTTGCAGTTTTGCAGCAAAGAAAATATAATAAAAATCCTGCTGCCAAAAAGAATTCTCCCCACAGACCACCATTATAAAAGAGATGTCTGTGAAACTGTTGGCAGGACACCTTTAACTGCAAACAAGGTTAATTATGACTCTTTTTATTATGAAGTGTTAGGCGTGATGTGTAACAGTACAACATCAGCCTTTAGTGTGACATACAACATACATGTTGGCAGCACTTTATAAACAATAACAGCGGGATAATATTGCAATAACAATCATTTGCTGTCCCTGTTACATGGTGGCTGACCCCTTCCTCTACTCGGAGGGTAAGGAGCTCCCAGACCTCATTGTTTTTCCAGTTTGCTGACAATTACGGTTGCTGTTCTTCTTCTTTGCGTTTGCTGCTAACTGCTACTATCCACTTTTTAAACCTCCCGATAGTGGGTCACACACGTAACAAGTCATCAAAATGTCACACCTGTCCCGTCCATTGTCCCGTCCTGCTGGCTGGCCCTTTTACACAGACGTTGATTCACCGGTGTTTCTATCTCTGCTGCCGGCTCAAAGGCGAGACAACTCTGTCCCTCCATTCAGTGATGGTACCTTTTAAAAAGAATGGCCAGATAAAACAACTGAAATAATACTCGTTTTGAACAGGCAGTGTAAAAGGGCACAAAAGTCACAGAGGTTCGTTTATTTTGCATCCTGGAGGGGCTGAACAATGAGGCTCCGTCACACACAGGAATAAGCTTAATCAGGCTTAAGTTATACAGTCAGTAATTGGTAATATGATCAGTTCATTATAGGTTTTGGTCTTAATGGGATTTTGTAAAAATAAAACTAATATAGAATATTACTAGACTTGCCTTTTAAGCTCACTTATGCAAAGAGGGAGTCAATAGGAAACCACAGCTTATTTTTATCCTGGAACTCCCAGGTAAATCATCATGGTTATGACCTTTCTGCTAAGTGTGGTTGGTAATGCACCAAAAAAGCATCAATGCAATAAGTGGAAGTCTGTAGGTGATATAAATGTCACAGGTTTCAAAACTTTTAAAAACCCTCAAATGTTGGAATTTTGATCTTAATCTTTATTTTGGTCTTTGGTTTAATAAAATGATTTTAAAAACTGAGAACAGATGTGTTCTGTTGTCCTGTCTGTGCTCAGGCAAGCATGTCGAATGGTAATCAGAGCTTGTTAAATGAACTCCTCTATCTGTCTTGTCTTTACACAGGTCTTCCAACACTGATTGCAGTGGTTTGTGGGATTTCAGGTGTTTACGGCAAATTCAGTCCAGAATCGGAGGGTGTCAGCATCAGCAACTCACCAATGCAGTTGTAAGAATTGTTGGGATTTAACCATTCAACCATGCAGGAGGTTTAAATTCTTAATTGCTGACTTTGATTTTTTAATCTGCAGATGCTGGATGAGCAGACACAGGCTTTTAGTCAGCTACATCACCACTGTTGCCTACCCATGCCTTGTGATACTGTGCAATTCCTGCATGCTGGGCCTGGTGGTGTTTAAGCTCTGGGGGCTAAGGGCAGGTAACGGAGCCATTGGAAGCAGTAGTGGCTGGAGGAAGACGAAGAGAGAGAATAGGAGCAAGTTATGGAAGGACTGTGCCACAGTGCTGGGTCTCAGCTGCTTGCTGGGCTTACCTTGGGGGTTAGCAACCATCAGCTACGTCTCCATCCCTGGAATCTACATATTCACAATACTAATCTCCCTGCAGGGTCAGTGTGTGCATGGTCCTCATATAAAGGATCCACTGTGCTTTTACGATTTACTGGAAGAATTCACAGCCTTTCTTTTTTCTTCCTAGGTGTATACATGTTCCTGTGGTCCGTGGCTTTGAACCGCAAGTCTCGATCTGACTATAACTCCTCAACCAAAGACCCTTCCTCTCAGAAAGTGATGACCACCAGTTTCAATAATTGATATTCACACCTGACACAAATGTATTATCCATTGCCTATAGTAGGTGTTTACATGCCTTTGGACTGCAGCCGTTGAATGATAACTGACAATAATGCATCAAACATGCATCATGAACAGTAACCCCTTCTAATTATTTATTGTTTCTATGATTCTTATGGTTACAGTAGGTCGTCAGTGGTGAATCACTGAATGAAAAAAATCTCTGTCTTTTCTGTAAGCATTATAATACATGTCAAGATCAGGAGGACAACTTTGTTAAAGCAGCGCAGACACCGTGGATCCTACAGATGTTGTTTGCTAATGTGCTTCCAAAGATTAACACAGATATGTTACATTTGTTACAGAAACTGTCTAATAAAAAGGACACAGTACAAGTTCATCTTTGTCCAGTATAGCAGTGTGTTGTGTCTGAATTCTTGATGCTACATTTTGTATCGGGTAAGGCGGCGTTATGATGGAAATCCTACACAGTGAAATGTACTCACTAAAAGCATTAAATATCCTTTATCAAACTTAGAACTTAGAATATTATGATTTACTATAATGGCCCAGTCACACCAACCATGAGTACGGTGATATTCATCAAGGTAACTTCACAAAATATTTGGTTCCGCGAACCGGAACATGCTAACACCATTCTGTCGCAATAGCTCTCCAAGCTTTTTGTCAGCATAATGTGCTGTGTACACCATCCTGGCATTTCGTCCACAGGATCATTTCATTTAGGCACTGTGGAAGGGAAAAAGGCTTGTTTGCTTGGTTGTTAAGAATATGCAACCCACTTGCCAGAAAAAAAATATTGGCATTGTACATTTCTGCAAACCACGGATAGGTTACATCTGTAAATTGTTTTGAGATGGATACATTGAACCCTAACATTTCTCAGCAACACTGTGGTGAGGTTTGGTTTAGGGACAAAAACCACTTGGTTATGGTTAGGAAAAGAGCATCTTTTTGGCTTAAAACACCCATGTTAGCTAACCCTAACCTGCTGGAAAGGCAGGTAACGTGTCGCAGAAAAAATCAGGTTCCACACCACAAGCGCCACTGGGAAACACTGCAATGTGCCGCAAAAAACACCCAGGTGTGATTAAAAAGATATCTAGGCTTTGGTGCCACAAACACCATTAGAAAACACTGCATTGTGTTACTAAAAGTACCCAGGTCTAGTGGCACAAACACCACTGGAAACGTTGCAAAGGATCTCCAAAAAACAGCCAGCGTTGTTGGTGTCAAACAGTGGTCTGCAGCTTGGCAGCCATCTTGCTTTGGGCGTCACACCATCCCTTCCACCTCCTGATGATAAAATCAGCTCATATAGCCTACTAAGTCACTTTATGAAATATGTATGTATGCTATGTATGAAATGTACAAATTTTTACATATCCTTGGTTTGCGGAAAGGTATGATGCAAAAAATAATAATTATGCCAACTGGGCTGGCATAAGATCATAGTTTAGTCAACATACCTTACTACTGCTCAGAGGACGTACAAAAAAACGTACAAAAACAAACAAAAAAACCCTTAGTACTGGCTCTCTGTTTTCTGCAAAGTTAAAGTTGTTATGAGCAAATTTACATATCAGAGTTCACCAAAGCTGTTAACAAGACTTCCCAAAGGTCATATCATAGTCTCTGGCTTAGGGTCCCCCTGACCCAATTGGGTCCCTGGGCCTGGGCCTACTAATCTCTCCATGTTTGCAGGTTTACATGTGGAAGTGACAGCATGATTCCTTTTGTGAGTTTGAAGAGTTATCTGTTAGACCAGTGCTCTGTTTTACATTCCTACAAGTGTACAATTATGCCTTGATTAATTTGGTCTGTGAAAAATCATTTTGGTCTGTTTTGTTTATTTGTTTTGTGAAATATCAGTGTTTATTTGGGTGTCCCTATGTTAAGTGATGAGTTGTGTTATTTTGCTTTGTATGTCAGTATTGTAAATGTTGCTTTGCACTTCAGGGTAACAGTTGACCCTGTTCTGCTTGCACTTACACCAAAACCATCACATTCAAAAGTTTTTATCGGGCCCAGAGGTGTTACTGCTTTGAGGGGTTTTTTAATCTACAAAAAGGAAAAAAAAAAAAACAAAGAAAAGATATACAACCCTGACATAGTTTGTAGAGACACTTTTTTAGAAAATTAGCTAAAACAAGCCCAGTTTATAGTTTGTATTTGCTGCTGGTGCACATACAACTTGAACTTAACAGCAGCAGATGAGCAAATGATAGTTGGTTATCTAAGGTAAAAACATGGAAAGTACAGCTCTCCCATACTGATCAATAATGCTGATTGCAAAACAATAAACAATAAATACCCATAACATAAAACCATAGAATAAAAAAAACAGAAAACAATATAAACTAATAAAGCTTTTAAAAACAATCCCAAAACCAAAACTAAGATTATTTAGCTATTTCTTTAGCATTAGATTCTATTACAACAAAATTCATGGATTGCATCACCAGATAGTATCTCATAGATTTATCGGAAATGCCGCAACAAAATGCTTTAATAGATTTTCTTTGTTGTTGTTACAATTTTTGCAGAGTGATTTGAAATGCACAAAATGAAACCAAACTAATTCCAGTAATTCAACATTTGCTCCTTGTATTACAAGTTAAGTTTTAAGTTTAGTTTACTAATGGTAATAATAATTATTGCTTGAGAGTTGCGTGATAATGGGGAAAATAATTACATTTTGTTTGTCTGTTTGGATAAAAATGGACATCAAAGTTCAGTATCTCTTTATTTTACCCTAATAATCTACAGATACAGAAAAACAGCAGTGCTAGTCAACACTGTCTTCTGCATTTGGCCACAACTTCTCATCCACATCACACCTGGGGAAGACTGTGTCTCCATGTTAGATACATCCATGGCAGGCTTCTTTTGCTGATATGTCCAGACAGCTAGAATGCATTGCATCCGAGGGACATCTGATCATGTGGCTGGTCATAAACTTTCCACCCCCATGAGGAAATGACTTCCACTATGAGGTCAAGGAATTGAGAGTAAGGTGGAGTCAAAGTGCCACCATCCTGAGAAGAAACACCTTGTGACTAGAAGAGAATGGTGAAATGTCACAACATCCCATAAATTGTCAATTGTCTTGCAGGTGCAGGATGTAGCAAATTGCAGTCTGACTTACAGTAATTTTGTGTTATGTAGGCAAACTCAACAGTCTTTACAGTAGTATGTTGAAAACAGACTGTAAATACACAGGCATTTGGTGGTGGTTGAGTCTGAGTGAGAAAACAGCGTTTTGAGAGTTGTAATCACTGTGACAAACTAATGAAAAGTGATCAGCTTGCATCTACTGTTAGCTCAGCTAGCACCACTGAGCTAACATCACAGCTTCCTTCTGCACAGTGATACAGTTGGTGGGTGTAGTTTGGCATAATACTAAAACTACTACTACTACTACTAATAATAATAATATTAATATTTTTTTTACATTTTATAAATAAACAACATGAAAACAATACATATGTAAACAGATGATGCCAGGAGATCAGAGCACTAACAGAAATCATACATCAGTTCATGAAATATAGGCGATGATAATGATTGTTGTGTCCTAATGCTCCGCCGTACTGTGACGTCTGTGGTACCCGAAAATAAAGGCGGAGCTCCTCAGTTTTCCTCCTCCCTCTCTGACTGCCAGACAAACCAGACAAACTCAGACAGAGAGACAACATGGATCCGAACACGACGATTCTGCGAGTCAAGAGAAAAAGGGGGACCGACCCCGCGGATGCGTTGTTGCTGGCGTGTAAACGTATCCGACCGGAGACAGCCCAGAGCTCAGGTGAAACGGTCCCGGAGCCAAATGAAGCCGAGGTGGAAAACTCTGTGTTCAAACTCGTGGCGACCGTAGCGACACAGGTGAGAGGCCCGCTGCTACAGCACGGTGTTAGCTGACCAAGCGCTGCGGGCTAACGTCACGCAGCTGGCGGTGGAAACGGCAAATAAACCTTAGCTAGAGTGTCAGTACAAACCTACCAATATAATAAATGTGACTGGCTGATAGCAAGCTGCATTTAACTGCTTAAAACGATTGTCGTTGTTGGAAAACTACGCGCCTGCTGTGCTAGTTGTTGTTAGCATCATACTCAGTTTAGGCAGCGTTGCTAGCTAACATTAGCCGCACATCAGCTCCAAATTGCACTAGCCTCTGCAATAGTTAGCTCATCTTGTTGACGTTGAGCGTAGCTGTGACGTCTTTGCAGGCCTCGAAATGATGACTTCATCCAAAATCAAAGCCGCTGTAGCTTTACCATCACAATGTGTTTGAACACACAATGTCAAACAGGGACGCCTCTTCTATCACATAAGCTAATTAGCTTAGCTGCTAAATATCCTTGTACATACCTATTACGATGTAATGTGATGCAGCGTCATACGTGAATTTCATTGTGTTTTCCCAGCTTTTTATTAATATGCAACATAATGCTTTATATGATAACCTAATGCGCACTGTGACACATGAAGAGAAAGCAAGTGTTGTCAGTGATACAATGAGGATTGAGTTTAAGAGAGAATTATGTTTGAGGAGATGTTTTGAAGAATTCTGTTGGTACCTGCTTAATTCTCACCCCTGTCATCTCATCACCAGGATGCTCCTGTTCAGACTCAGGTGCGACAGGCTTTGGCTCGGCCTCGCATGGCCCATGCCCTGCGCCCCTCTGCTGCCAGTTCACAACGGATAATTGGGGATCTACGGAGCACGAAGTGGAGCACCCGGAGGGAGGAACGCTACAGAATACTCTCCAGCCACCGTACAGGGCTGTCAAGTCCAGCTGAGCAGCAAACCCTCCAGACAGAAAACTCTGAGGGCGTAGAGGAGACTGGGAAAGAGCAGGACAAATGTCTGGGTCTTGGTGCGATCCAGGTGGTCGATCTCCTACATGAGGATGCAGAGGACCAGGACAAATCCCCTGGCAAGGTGGGTTCAATGTTATTGCAGCCATTTAGAGATTAGTAATATCAGGGTTTTGTTTAGAATGGAATCGACTATCATGCTGCCTACTAAAATTGAAAAGTTTACTTTGTAGCTGTCCACAATTTTGAAGGTAAAGAAGTGTTTTCCGAAATATAGATTCATACCTTTAAAAATAACAGTCAATAGAGTAAAACAAATGAACAGGGCAGAGAGAATGAATTGGTTCAAAGTGTGGTTACATTTTCCTTGAGCTGACAATAATGCCTGTATACCACTTTGTCTGATAAAACGTGCAAGCGGCTCCTAGATTTGCATCACTCACTGGCCAAACAAACAATAATTATCTATTGAGGGGCTGGTAGATTTTGGAATCCACCAGCCACAGTGGCAGGTGGACAGAAAATTTTATTTCCAACCCCTCCACCAGTGTAGGAGATATCATTGTTCTAAAACCT